CAAACAGAACCTTGGCAAGGAGAGCGGATCTTGCTTGTGGGCTTTGCTGTGCAGCGCACGCAGGAGCTCCAGCCGGAGCAACAATCATTACTTGAATCCCTTGGTTTCGTGCTGCCGTCTTCGGCGTCACTAAAGCGGGGGCCAGGCACCGAAGACACCAACCCGCACCTTAACACCCCCCTTGACATTGCCGTGTCTGGGGGCCCTCATCCCTCTAGCACCCCTGCCGGAGGGTCCACCCGGAAGGCTCCTGTTAGCACCCTCGTGGAGGGGACCACTCCGCGAGCCCCAGAAGTAGAACCCACTACGGAACAGGCTGATGTCGACAGTGCTGACAGAGGTATTTTGAGCCAGGACAGTGTAGATGCGACAGAGGACTTCGACCCAGCCACAAGCCGATGCAGGGGGCCGCCCATTCGGTGTCGACACACCCGTGAATGGAGAGAGCTCGTGGATGGCTTTGGCTTGTGCTCCCCAGGCCGGTGGCGGCCTAACTCACGAGATGCAAAAGCTAGCTCGTCGGAATGGGAACATGCCGAACAGGTACGCGGGATCTTGTTGGACACGGTGAGGTCGACCATCCCAGACCCGAGGAAAGCAGCTTACTTGTTGGCGACCGGTCGCATGCAGCGATCCCCCTTTGAGGACCACACACTTGAAAAGACACGGGAGAGAATCGCGGAAGCTTTGCCGGATCCGGAGCAAGCCAAGTGCAAGCCCCCTGGCCAACCATTCTACTTGCACATGCTGTCGCAATCACTGGAGACGCTTGGGGACCCTGACTTCGAAATCTTGGATCATGGTAGCGAGTCCTTTGCTGAAGGCGTGCCCCTGGGCTGGGACAAGCCGTTGCCAAGAACGCCTCAAGTCTTCCCAAGGCGCACGACCTTCAGGAAACTGGACCAATCAGACTTCGATCCCTCTATGGTCAATTACCGTTCAGCGGAGTTGAACGCCGAACAGCTTGAGGCGAAATTTCGGGAGGACGAAGCAGCCGGCTTGATGACTTGCACGACCGAGGCAGAGGCGAAGGCAAAATACGGAGCCGACGCCGTGCTCATTGCAGCAATGGGAGCGGTGACCAAGGCCAACGGCGATGTGAGACCGTTACACGATGGGACTCACGGCATCAACTTGAATAATCGTATCAGGATTCTTGACAAGCTTCAGGTCCCAGGCCCCGAAGATCTTCAAGAAGTGGCTGCACGGGTTCTTGAAAGCAAGGAGGCCCCCTTCGCCTTGTGCGCAGACATAAAACAAGCACACAGAAATGCAAAGGTGCGCGAGGCTGACTGGCCTCGCATGGCCTGTAAAGCTTCCAGCGCATCACGAGTCCTCTGGCTCAACCGAGTTGGTACTTTCGGGATCAGCTCAGCGGCGTATCATTGGGCGAGATTGTTTGCAACAGTTGGCCGTTGGACTTTCCGGATACTGCACCTTGATAAGTTCTACATGCTTATATACGTTGATGACCTCCAGGTGATTGTTTTCGGAGCCGAGAAATTCACAACGCTCTGGGCACTCTTCTTGGCACTGGAGGTCATGGGGACTCCCTTTGCATACCACAAGTTTCGTGGTGGGGTGGAAGTGGACTTCATCGGTTACCACATCAATTACTTCTCATGGACTGCTGGAATCTCAAAGAAGCGCGCCGGATGGATCGTGGAATGGATCACCAAAGCTGAGTCGTCGAATTGGGTGGTTGTTGGAAGGTCCTTGGTGGAATTCTTGGGACGACTTAACTTCGTCCTTCGGATGCTTACCTGGATGAAGCCCTTCTTGGCTCCATTGTATGCTTGGCAGGCTGTGGTCAATCGCAGCACCGTTGCGCAACTCCCTGACTTCGTGGTGCTGGTCCTTCGCTTCTTTCGTTTCCAGTTTGAGAGCGGGGCAAGACTTGACGCCGTCCATATGAGTTGGCCTGCAAGCGATCGGCAAGCCTTTAGAACCGACGCAAAATGCCAACGGGGACGAGTGGTTCTCGGTGGCTGGTCCCTCGATCAGGGGACCGACACCCACAACGCGCCTTGGTTCACTTTGGAGATACGACAACAGGATCTCCCTGCTCTCTTCAAGGAGGACCTTTCGACCGAATGGGCATCAACTGCAGCTGAACTCCTTGCTTCATACGCCGGTCTTGTGGCGTTCGGCCACACAACGCCGAAGGGGGGGCGTGACAGGCTCAGACTCCAGGTGTGTGCCGGGACTGATAACAAGTCAACACCAGCGGTGACGGATCGTGGGGTCAGCAACAAGTGGCCTGTGCAAGGTATCCATATGCAGCTTGCTACGACGCTTCGCCAGGCGAACAAAGTGTGCCGGTTGGCATGGCGCCCACGTGAAGAGAACCAGGATGCTGATGATCTGACGAATCTGAGAACGGGAAATTTCAATCCAGAATTGCAGGTGCCTTTGACGATGGAAGATATCCCCATGGATCTCTTCAAGGAGCTGCAAGCAGGCTACCAGGAGTTCAGGCACGAACGCGAACGCCTTGCTTTGCTTAAGCTGCCGAATGAGAAAATCAGTAAGCGCCAGAAATTACTTGACAAGTCGGAATGGTAAATTTGCACTTCCGGCTTCCTTCGCTTCCCGGTCTAAAGTTGGGGTGCAAGTTCCGGTTGCTCACTCAGCCGGAGGTCGTATGTACACTTGTGCTTCAATCCAGCTTGTAGGCTGGTGCAGATCGAATACGAAGAGGCCCGACACACATCATGAAAAAGTCAGAGCGCGAATGTGGATGTGATGCAACATGTCATTGAGTGATTGCCTGCAGTCTAAACCTCTTGCAAACTTGCCGAACGTTGTCACCCTAACCCTTAACCCCTGCCTCCCTAGAGCCGTAGCTCTCTTGGTTCAAACGGCGGGACAAACCGTTTGGGTTTCCCCAAAAGGATTGTCTCGGAGTTTGAGCCAGGGGGGGTGGGCCGGGGGAAAAGTGAAAATGATCCTTGTTGGAATTCTTTGAAAATGGCCTTTGATTTCCTCTTGTGATTGCTTGTGCATTTGGACGAACTGGCAAGTGCACACTGCTTGACTCTTGAAGCAAGTTGAATAATTGGCCATGCCGTGGCCAATTTGGTGCGAGGTCAATTTTGTGACCCACCCACGCCGCCCTTGAAGATGCAGTCCATTGTGTTTAATGTTTCACTTGGCATGCTATCTGCTCGATGGCACGTATCGCTATCCTTGGGGTGCAAGTTCCGGTTGCTCACTCAGCCGGAGGTCGTATGTACACTTGTGCTTCAATCCAGCTTGTAGGCTGGTGCAGATCGAATACGAAGAGGCCCGACACACATCATGAAAAAGTCAGAGCGCGAATGTGGATGTGATGCAACATGTCATTGAGTGATTGCCTGCAGTCTAAACCTCTTGCAAACTTGCCGAACGTTGTCACCCTAACCCTTAACCCCTGCCTCCCTAGAGCCGTAGCTCTCTTGGTTCAAACGGCGGGACAAAAGCACTGAGTCAGGGCTCAATAAGCTCTTCAGCACCGCAAAGCCCCTGGGAACCTTCCTACGGCCGGCAGCCACCTGGGCGCATTTGCACCGCGTGCAATTTGAAGTGGAGCACCTCGCTGGTGAGAAGAGCGTTTGGGCCGACAAGCTTAGCAGAGGCTCAACAGCTTTGTTGCAGCATCGCAATGCTGAGAAGGTCGAGATCACACTAGCGCAGCTCGCGTCAGCATCGCATTGCGTGACGTTGCATGATCTCTCTTTGGAGTGGCCGCAACTACTTCAAGACGCACAGCACGCCATGCTTAAATGAAAAAGAATGGAACGCTTTTCTCTCCTGCTTCGTGTTAGCTCACAGGTTCTCGTTTGCTCAGCGTTGTCTTGCAACCCCCGCCTCGCCAGGTACATCCGCCAACTCGCGCGGTGAGGGGGCATAAGCAGAGGTTGTCGAAGTGCACCTAAAGTGGGGGATTCGCTCGGCATCGCTTGCCTTTTCCCTCTAGCGAGCAATGCCTCTCTTCGCACTGCACTTTCGAGCACAACCTCTGCGGAAAAGAAGGACCGGCAGCTCGCACTGCGTAGGTAGCTTTAGAACAGTTAGAGAACCACTACTACCGCGACGTCTAGTTTCGACCACCACTACTCTTCCGAATTTGGCCCAGTTGTGAGGCTTTTTTTAGTCTGTAACACGAACAAGAAACAAGGACAATTAACATGCGAAAGAAGATTTCATCGCAGGCCATCACATGGTCAACAAAATCGTTTTGAGGGCCGTTGTATGAGTCTCAAAAATAGGTTTGGCTTCGGATTTCCATCTTGATTCGTTTTTGATGCGAGTGGGCATACAAAAAAGCACATGGAAAGCAGGATGGCATTTCCCCCCGCCCCCATCGCATATGATCATCAAAGCAGTCTGGACTGCCGTCGCATGACTCTTAAAATCGTTGCGTCCTACGTGTGTGGCTTCTGTTGGTTTGTAACACGAACAGGTACACAAGGACAAGGCGGTCAGAATGCAAAAGTGTCGTTGTTGCAGGCCATCACATGGTCGACAAAAATCGTTGCGAGGGCAGTCGCATGCTTATCAAAATCGTGTTGAGTGTCGGTCTCTGATTCCCATGTGTGTTTGTTTCCAACACGAACAAAGATTTGTGCTATCGTTCTATTCGCAGGGTTGATGCTTGTAGTCTCAGGTTCACTCCTAAGACGAAAGTAAGACTACCAAACTGCTCAGGTTTGCGATGTGTCGTGTGGGTATTGGTAATTGGCGACTTTCTTTGCTCTAATTTTCATGACTAAGACAGCCTCCGATCTCATGGAAAGTAGATGTGGACACGGGTTCTTTCATGCGGCAGCTCCTTACTGATGGCCAGGCTCCCCAAGCCACAGTACATCGAATGTACATGCAAGCGCCTGACGGACAGAATTTGGAAGAGGTTGATTTGATGCCGGCACGGTGTGCCAGAAGCTGAGCTCTTGAACCATCTTAAACCAGAAGCCCCGAACTCTAAACCTGCTGGACTCTCCAATCCGGGCATTTATCCAATGGAGAGCCATGGCCTCAATGTGGTCATCCCACCTGGGACCCTGGACAAGGTGGTGCTCACCTCTGCAGCCGACCTTGACAATAAGACGATCCTGGGTTGAAATTGCGTAGCGTTTTCATTCTTCTGAATCTGCTTTCGATTGCTGTGTTGAAACAGTGGGGGAAGGGTTCGAGGTTCTGAGGAACATCTCTTGGTAGTTTAAGCACTTCCGGCTCGAACTTGCGACGTCACTGACTCGTTGCAAAAGCGTGTTGCAGGCTGAAGGGACAGTTGAATGACTGGCTGAAGACGGTGCTGGACAAGATGGACGGTGTGGCCCAAACAGCCCAATCGGAGGTTCAGAAGGCTTGCACGGACCTGCTGGAGAAGCAGCAGCATGCTTTTAGCGAGGCGCTTGCAGGGATTTCCTTTGCTTCTTCTAATTTTGCATGCGTCAGGGGGCAATGTTGCCAGACTTGCCCTTGTTTGAATGTCGGGACGAGGTGAATCACTTGAAGGTCGAGGTTCTGGGCACTGTGTCTGCACGAGCAACCGACCATGAGAACGAGATGAGGGAAATCAAGAAGGCCATGGATGGCTTGGCTTGCAAGGCCGACGTGAAGAGCATCACGGACAAGGTGCCGTCGTGAAGTGCTCAACGTCTGAAGCCCTCAGCTCCCACCCTTGAAAGCCGAGGTTTCGGAAATCATGACTTCGCTTGCCAAGCAGGTGGGCATCTGCGGGAAGTCGGGCTCCCGAAGCTCAGGGGAACCTCAAGTCTCTTTCCCACTCTCCTCCCCCTCCCTCCCTCCCTCCCTCTCTCCCTCCCTGTGGCCTTTCTCCATGCTCCGTCCCGAGCGGGCCTGCAAACATCGAGCAGACCCCTCCTGACTGCACAGGCGGACTTGCTGCTGGAATGGCAACAGCCACTGCTGCAGGCGCTTGGCACGAACCAAGCCGAACTGACAGCACAACTGGCTGGTTTGTCTGCCAGTCAGAGCCACCTCTGGGAGAAGATGACGTCGCAGCTGGGTAGACATTCTGCGCATTCCGGTGAACTGGAGACTAGGATCGCAAGAAACCATGAGGACCTGACTTCCCGACTGGAACAGCATGCCGACTCCTTCACACAGCTCAAGCAGCAACGTGACCAGCTGTTGCACGAACAGCAGCGGCAGCTTGATCATGTTTTGAGCGCGCTTGCGGACCGGAACCAGAAGCTGCTGTCTCAGCTGACAGTGCAGTTGGAGACCGTGTCGACGGAGCAGAAGGAGCTCAGCGCCGATTCGCTGAAGCAGCTCATGCAGCAGCTCGACCTCCTGCTGCAACAGTTCGATCCTCTGACAGAGGTTACACAGCATTGTGATCAGCTACTGCGGGAACAGCGACAGCAGCTGAATCCCGCGATGCGCAGCGTTCAGGATCAGAGCCAAGAGCTGCTGGCGCAGCTGACAACGGGCTTGGAGGGTCTATCTGCAAGCACTGCAAGCACCCAGCAGCTCAGTGTCGACTCGTTGAAGGAGCTCAAGCAGCGCTGCGACCAACTACAGCAGGAACAGCAGCAGCATCTCGTGCCCCTCACGCAGTTCACGCAGAACTGTGGCAAGTTGCTGCAGGAGCAAGGACAACTGCTCCAGCCCCTTATGCAGCTCACTCAAAACTGCGACCAGGTGCTGCAGCAACAGCAACATCAGCTCGACAACCTCCTCAGTACAGTTCAGGATCATCGCCAAGAGCTGTTGACTCAAGTTGGCTCACACCTGGACAAGTTGGACAACCTGTCTGCCGAAAGCAAAGAGCTCAGTGCCAACTCAGTAGCAGAGCTGAAACAGCACCACGGCCAACTGCTGCAGGAACAGCAGCAACGGCTCGATCCTCTGTTAAACAGTCTTCAGGACCAGCTGTTGAGCCAACTGGCAGTGCAGCTAGAAAGCTTGTCCGCAGAGCAGAAAGAGCTCAGCACTGATTCGCTCGTACAGCTCAAGCAGCAGTATGATCAACTTCGAGAGCAGCAACAGCAGCAGCTGAATCCTCTCCTGAGCACGCTTCAAGATCAGAATCAAGAGCTGCTGTTGCAGTTGGAAACACAGCTGGACGATCAGCTTGACAGTTTGTCCGCCGAGCAGAAGCGGCTCAGCGCCGATTCCACGAGGCAGCTCACGAAGCAGTTGGACCAACTTCAAAAGGACCAGCGGAAGCAGCTCGATCAGCTCTTGAAGCCGGGAGAAAGGAGCCACGAGTTGCTCACCCAGCTCAAGACGTCGCTGGAGGCCTTGTCAAAAGAACAGAAGCAGCTGAGAACTGAAGTGCTGAACCAGCCCACGATGCCTTCCGTGCCAGTGCCTGTGCAGCAGACCGACCCCGGACTGCGTCTGCAACTTGATCCCGTTAGCAAGCTGCAGGATCAGCTTGCTGCATTGTCCGGTCGTGCGCAGCTCATGTCGCAGACGCCAGAGAGAATCCCCACACCGCCACAGACGCCAAGCCCACGCAGGCTGGCGATGACACAGAGCCCTCAGCAGCAGTCGCCAACGAAGATGCTGCAAGACTATCAGGACATGGTGCTGCTCAAAAGACATGAGGTGGCACATGCTAAGTCTGACCAGTCTGACCTGGTGATAGTCCGGAGGATTTCATCGTACTACCTGCACGTGATGAAGTCAGCATAGCTGACTGGCTTGTGCAGTAGTACTGTTCTACTGTGGCACTATTTCAGACGTTGCAGTTTTTACACCGTTGTTATTGTTCTGAGCTCTTAAACTACGTCAAACAATGAAACTTTGTTCCAGGACAGCACACTGCAGGCTTCCGGGTGATAGTTGCCGTTCCCGCGGTCCCATTCCTCATGCGTTTTGGGTCTCCCTCCTCTTGAAGGCCTAGAAATCAGCTCTGAAGCTGTCGTCTTAACGCGCACTCTGCGCCAGCCCTCATTTTGTTTACACCCGATCGCCACTCCGGTCCCAGGGATCCCAAGCTTGTAGAACAATCCCCGAAGCCCTCGCAGAGCCATGAAGTGTGTCCTGTGCTTTGTATATCTTTGTATCCTAGAGAGCCGTGTCGCCAAAGGCGAAAGGGGAGGGGACAAAGGCTCCCGAGCGTCCCGCGAGCGTCAAGGCCCGCGGCTCGTGGGATCCCCTTGACGTGCTCCAGGTAGGCCCTGCCGGCTGCCGCCAAGCGGCAAAGCGGCAAAGCGCTGCGGTTTTCGCAGCCCCGACGGAGTCTCTCGTCTCCAGTCTGCGACGGGTGGCTTTGTGGGTTGAGCCAGGCGGCGGCGAGCTTTTTAAAGCCTCCAGCTCAAGGCAACTTGAGGGATGTCACACAGCCACCCGAAAGTTGCGATCTCTCCACAGCAAGGGACGAATGTTCGAGCATTAGCAGAACGGAATCGTGGTCTACCCTTCAGGAGAGTTCAGAATCATTCATCAGCAGACAGTGTCGTAGGTGTGCAGTATGCAGGGTCGTGGGCACCATCTCAGCCTCTTGTGGCTTTTTCGAGCTCGTGCTCTCTGGACACCGTGCCAAGCATTACCGACGCATTGCTGATAGAATCGCTGAAGAAGAAAGTCGCGAGCTTGTGCATGTGCCTGTCTGAATGTCTGCCTGTCTGTCTGCATGTGTGCACGCACAATGCTGCAGTGCTCACAGATACCGAGACATACATTGTTGGACAAACAGATCGACAGTATGGTAGTGCAAGCATCAGGTTTTCCGCCCAAGGTGAATGCTGCACTCGCCAAACCAACTCACCGAAGGATTTGCACATGGAAGAGGAAGAGACTGAGACAGTGCTTGCGCAAGGTTATTTCTGCAGTCGCTTGTCTCCAGGTGCATGCCTTTAGCGCCACAGTCTGCAGGCTTCCCACTTCAACCTTCCTGTCATGTCTTCTGCTTTTTTCCGCGTATGGGCAGCTGTTTCCTCTCCAAAAGCCCCTCCGAAGGATCCCCAATCATCATCTCTTGGAGTCTGCCATTGAACCACAGACGAGCAGAGAGCTGCAAGGAGGCTCCCGACGACGGCTGCGAGCCCACGGTCCAAGCCCGGGAGAGGAGTCCGGGAAGGAGGCCGGGCCCAGGCTTTGGAGCTAATGCCGCCCTTCAGCGGCTTCCGCGGCGGCGGGCTGCTCTCTCTTTGCCTGGCCTGCAGCGTGGCTGGGTCGGCTGGGAGCTCTCCTTCGTCTGCGAGATGTGCGAGAGAAGAGGAGGGTTTGGAGGCGCTTGGCATGTGCCTTCTCCATGAGAGCCCGAGCATGCTGGGCACATAAAAGACAAGCCAACCGGCACGAAAGCCCTGGCAGGATGTGGCTGCGTTGCAGCTGCGCGAAGATGGAGGCTCTGGGCTTGAAGACTTGAGTTGGGTGAGGCGATGAAGAGGTGAGATATGAAGGGTCTCGACAGAAGGCTGTGGAACCCAAGCGTCTTGCAGTTTCAGGTTCTGCAGAAAGCTTTCTGGGGACCATCTGCAACTTGAGGGCATATTTTCAATTAGCGTGCTTGTCTTATAGACCCTTGGGTCCTGGCTTCGGGTTGTCTGAGGGGTGTGTAAGACTGGTCGAAATGCAGGGGTTCAATCCATACCCTAAAGGGGGTCCATAGAATCAGACGAGGGTTGGGTATGTCATAGCCAAAGCGGGGCATTCAGGGGGGGGGCCAGGGGTGGGCCGGCTCGAAATGTCCACGCCTCAACTCCGAGAGGTGTGAAGACCGGCGGGATCCCGTCACACCACCAACGCAAAGCCCTAAACTTTAAAAAACAAGCCTCCGGACCAAACTCTAATAGATAAATCCCTTCCTTCCAGGAGGCCAGGGCAGCGGCCGCAGGACACATCGGGACATGGCCGTCGTAGACGACACGGGAGAAATGTTTCTTGGCACCGGCTTTGGGTTAATAGCAGGAAGGCCCTTGCAACGAAGCGGCCATCTGGTCCTGGTCGTGGTCCTGGTCCTGGTCGTGGTCGTGGTCGTCGTCGTCGTCGTCGTGGTCGTGGTGGTGGTGGTGGTGGTGGTGGTGGTGGTGGTGGTGGTGGTGTGGTGGTGGTAGTGGTGGAAGAAGTAAGTAGTAGCAGGAGGAGGCGGAGTAGAAGCAGCAGCAGCGGCGGCCGAAGCTGAGCGGCAGTCACGACCACGACCACGACCACCACGACCACCACGACCACCACGACCACCACGACCACCACGACCACCACGACCACCACGACCACCACGACCACCACGACCACGACCACCACGACCACCACCACCACCACGACCACCACGACCACCACGACCACCACCACCACGACCCACCACGACCACGACCACCACGACCACCACGACCCACGACCACCACACCACCACGACCACCACGACCACCACCACCACCGACCACCACGACCACACGACCACCCACCACGACCACCACGACCACCACGACCACCACGACCACCACGACCACCACGACCACCACGACCACCACGACCACCACGACCACCACGACCACCACGACCACCACCACCACCACGACCACGACCACGACCACGACCACGACCACGACCAAGACCAAGACCAAGACCAAGACCGCGACCACCACCACGACAACCACCACGATCACGAGACCACGAGACCACGAGACCACGAGACCACGAGACCACGAGACCACGAGACCACGAGACCGCGAGACCGCGAGACCGCGAGACCGCGAGACCGCGAGACCGCGAGACCGCGAGACCGCGAGACCGCGAGACCGCGAGACCGCGAGACCGCGAGACCGCGAGACCGCGAGACCACGAGACCATTGCCATTGCTATTGCTAACGTTATCGCTGTTATTATTACCATTACTAGTACCATTGCTATTGGTACGGTTACTACTACTGTTACTATGACTATGACGATGGCGATGACTATGACTATTGCTAGTACTGTTGCTGCAGCTGTTCCTGGTACTGTTACTGTTGACTGTTACTGTTACTGTCGCTATTACTATTGCTATTTATCATACGTTTACTATTACTACGACTATGACTATGACGACGACGACGACTACTACTACTACCACTACTACTACTACTACTACTACTACCTACTACTCCTACTCCTACTCCTACTCCTACTCCTACTCCTACTCCTACTCCTACTCCTACTCCTACTCCTACTCCTACTACTACTACTACTACTACTACTACTACTACTTACTACACTGAACTACTACTACTACTACTACTACTACTACACTACTACTACTACTACTAACTACTACCAACCACTACCACTACCATACCACTACCACTACCTACTACACTACTACTACTACTACTATACTCCTACTACTACTACTACTACTACTACTACTACTACTACTACTACTACTACTACTACTACTACTACTACTACTACTACTACTACTACTACTACTATGGATCCACCGGACTACTACGACGACTACGACTCCTACTACGACTATGAATGCCACTACCACTACCACAACTGCCTACCTCTCCCGCTAGTGCACAGCGAGTACCACCACTACCTCCACTGCAGCTACTGCTATTGCTATTGCTACTACCACTACTACAACTACTACTACAACCACTACTATTTCCACTGCTGCTACTGCTAACTGCTATTGCTGCTGGTCCTACTGCTACTGCTACTGCGACTGTTGCTATTACCTTTATCACGACCTGTGTGACTGCTGCAGCTACTACGACAACCACGATGCCACGACTGCCACGACTACTTCAACGACGACGGGGAGGATGCTGGCTGCCGCTGCCATTGCTGCCGCTGCCACTGCTGCCGCTGCCGCTGCTGCAGTTGTCGCTGCTGCTGCTGCTGCCGCTCCATAGCGCTTTGTAATGTTTTTTGGTTTTCATGATTTTCATCCCGCTTTCAATCTTCCTTTTCCTTTTGGTCAACATCAACATCATCAAAACCAACACCAACATCAGCATCAACATCATCAGCAACATCAGCTCACTGCTATCGCAATGATTGGAATGCCATCCTCTTTCTCCTCCTCATCGGCATTGCATTAGTATATAGTTTGGCCCGTACACATTGTCTATTTGTGATTTGTTTACGTGGCGGTGTCGTTCACTTAACCAGCATGTTACATGCTTACGGAGTTTCCCCGCTTCAGCTTTTGAGCTTTCGTGATTTTGAGCTTCAGTCCCTACGTAGCTTCCCAGTGAGAAGCGTGGAGACATGCACTTGAAGCCGAGGCTCTTGAAGTTCTCGTCCCGGTCCAGGAGCATCTCGGCGCGTGACTTGGCGGATTTTGGGGTTGTGTCCTGCCGGATCCTGAAGCTGTAGTAGGTTCTTCGCGATGAAGTCGCTGGTCCTTTCCTTGCACAAGGGGAGGCAGGGAGACAGTTCTGAGGCTACTTGGGTGCCGTGCCGAGCTTCGGCGAGACCTGGAAGCTATCGGAAGCACTATCTTTCTGATTGGAGGAGGGTGTTCTCTTTGGTTTTGTTGTTCTTGACTTGGTGATTCAGTTGAGCTGGCCGCCTGTCGAAGCCCTAAGGCCGTAAACGACCTGTCAAGCCAAAACCTCGAGTCCTGAAGCCTGGACTTTCAAAAGCGCCAAGCCCCGCAACCTCACCCTCATAAAAAGCAAAGACAGTGAATTCCTATGACCGCCTCAACTCTTGACCTCCCAAAGCCTCCAAGACAAGGAGAACGGCAACTTGAT